AGGTAAGACACCTGGGTCGGGGAGAGTAGAGAGGTGAAGATAAAATAAGGAGAATGTGGGCAAAAAAAGATAATCTCCAACAGAATGCTATTTAAATGACTATAGGGCAGCATACCTATTTTGATTGCTCTGTAGTAACTAGAAGTTTCCCCACCGGTCAAGTCTGGTTTGACTTTGCAGGGAATCAAGTGTGTGTGAAACACTTAAAACGACAAGTGCTTTAAGACTGCCCAGACCCACGGAAGAGTATGTTACAGCCGACTCCATCCCAAATATGTTTGTCTTTTCCCAACCAATATAGTGAGGCAAGAATTAGAGAAGGCTGGACACCTGTCAGTTTAACATTGTAAGATGGAATAGTGCCCACTCTAAAATGCCATCTGGTCATCATCTTAGCGCCCTTCTCACATGCAGTATGGGAGAAGGCTGAATGGCTTCCCCCAAGTTTTATCAGTGGGTTTACAGTATATTAGACACATCATTGTGGGGGATGGGAGGGGAGTGTAATAACGGCACAGTAACCACAGAAGGTAAGAGGAGAGGAAATAGACATCTCCAACCATTTCTAAGAAGACAGTGGTACAGTGTGCCCCTGAGAGAAGGGGGGCACATAACACACCAACAAGCACACTGTTGGGACTGGTAGGGTGAAAACTTTGATTCCAGAATCTCTGGAACCGCCCACAAGGAGCAACCCAGGAATAAAAGCAGAGCCTGCCAGCATACCTACCTGGAGTCCCACTGCACAGAAGAGCAGCTTCAAGGCCTGCCAAGTGGGAGTGGTCTCTGCTGGCTCTGTCCGGGGAGACAGGGGAACCTCATCCGAGGCCTTGGGCTCATTGCCAAACACACAAGCTTTCACCAAGGGGAAGCAGAGACCCCTGCCTGAAGAAGGTACACAAGGTTAAGCCCCAGGCTTCCCCCTAACACCTAATCATCTTCCCCAGGGCAGCCAGCGTGCCCTGTTGTCTGTCCTGCTGCCGTTCCTTCCAGCCTCCCTTTCCAAGCCA